CCTGACAACAGGAGCACCCTTCACCTGACAACAGGAGCACCCTTCACCTGACAACAGGAGCATCCTTCCCCAACGGAAAGCTCTGAGCATCATTGAGCCACAGCTGAAATGTCTCCTCACCTCAGAGACTTCTGCCTCTGGGTAACTTTCGGGGAATGTGCAGGATAAAGATGTTTTCCCACATTCTACTATGATAAAAGGTACATCTGGGTTCAGAGATGGGGTCCTCTTACCACTGAATCCTGATGGAAACAGGACTCTGAACACTTGAAGAATGAGTGAACAGAAGGCATGAGGGGAAACTCTGGCATTATTTTCCACATCTCTTAATAGTAGCTCAAGAATAAATGGATTTGGAATTCCCTGGTTAAGTATAAATAGTAATTAAATCTAGCAGAAAACTGCATGGTCTTATGAAAATATATAATCTTAAAGGAACATTGAAAATAGAAAAATATCCTGGAAAGATTATTAATATTACGGAAGAAATAATGTACAGTAAATTCTCATGGTTTTGTATAATTGTGTGTGTAGCCAGAAGCTATATCAAATATGATTTCCATCGCATTTGCTACATCAAGTAAACTACACTACTGCATGAGCACGCCCAAGTTACAACCTCAACCAAGTTCTTCCTCTTATTTACATAAGGGAGATATTGCGATTGGCGCTTCTGAATCCAGCCTACTCGCATCCAGAGAGTATTAGTCAGCAAGTCAAAGAGGGAGATAATGTACTTTTATTTTTAACAAACATTGTAGGTATCTTTTTCACCAGGAAAGTTTATAAACTTTCAGAAGAAATTATTTGTGTAGGGCTCAGGGAACTCCATGGATCAAATATTCCATAACTTACTTCTCTGAAGCAGAAAACACACAAATACTCAATTTCTTGCTTAAATATTAATCCTCTGTCTCATCAATGTACAAGGGAGGCAGTCTTGGAGATTCAAAATATTTAAGAAAAATATAATTCCTTTTCTGAAAAATAAACTGTAGAAGGCAGTAAGTGTACTATTTGTTTATAATTGTGTTATAAAGCATACAGCAACCTGCTTGAACACAAGAAAAGAGAGAGACAGAGAGAAGTAAAGGCTGAGTGGGAGAACCAGTCGAGAGGGGACTCTGATGTGGGCATCATATTTGATTAAGACAAGACTGCGATTTTTGTTTCCCCCAAACATTTTTAAAAATATGCCTCCTAGCCATGAACCCCTCAGCACCCTTGCCCCATCACATTTCTGCACCAGCGCTAATCCCTTGGGCTTGACATCACTTCTTAATGGCACATTAGAGGGACAAGTGAACTTGCAAGAGACCTGAAGGCAACAGGTCTGACACTTATGCAAAGAAACACTTCAGTTACAACTAATGTAGCCAGTACCCAAGAACTGCTGGCCTGGAAATATTCTAAGCTCTGCATCCATCAAATGTTAAAGCTGCAAAGCACCTTTGTATGGCTGGTAGGTTTAAGCTAAATTTTACAAAGGAAGGAGAAGAGACAGAGAAGGGTGACCCAAGTTGCCCATGGTCATCCTGTGGCCCTTGCGGTCACTTGGTAAAGACAGCTACGGTCTTCGATACTAAGCCCATGAGGCTGTGCTCTGCACTGATGCATAAGGCTACCTCCACTTCTAGACACCGTAATATGAAGCAAAGATTTCCTTTTTTAAAAATTTCATTGAGAAACAAATAGCAATGAGACAGTTTCAAAACAGGTTAGTAGGACAGTTACAATAATTAATACATTGCATATTGTTGTCTTCATAGTTATTCATAG